CTTTGGCATTCCCATCTTAAGTGTTATGGGCGCCTGATAGCCTCCTGAAGCTGAGGCCGTGGGATTATGGTCATCTTCACTGGAATCATATTCAGGCAACAAACTGCTCCTTCGCAGACTCTCATAGGCCTGCTCACGTTCTTCTCTCTGTAGGATCTTCTGGATCGTCTTCTTCTCCTCCTTGGTCATCTTCGGAAGAGTTGCCATCACCTCTTGTGGACTCGCCTTGACCTTTTCCTTCGTTGTCTTGGTGACTTCATAGCCTGCAGCCTCCTTCAAGGGTCCCTTACGAAGGTGGTATATCTTCGGCTTCTCTTCCGGACGACTCGATTCTGAACTTGGAACTTGGTCTTCATCTTCACCACGGCTTACGACCGTCCACCCACGCTTCCCCTCAGGCATCCGTTCATCATGGTTGAACTGTGCCCGCATTGAGAACTAAACCGTGCAGCCACTCGTCTGGTCACAGCATAGGTGAAGTGAATGGCATCCAGGCGGAGTGGAAGCAACAGTCTTCTTCTGGTGAGGTCGATCCTTGCGACTCAGGACATTTACATTCAGAAGCTCCTCGCCAATGTCCCTTTTGGCCACAACTGGCACAGTGAGAGGCCTGCTTCTTCTGAGCCACGGATGGCGGTATACCGGGACTTGAACGGTTTCTTCCTTGCGACCATCCTCGCCCCTCCGCTTTTCATGCATCTTTATTTTGGCCTTCTGACCAGCTGCATATGCTTCCATGATTTGCTCCTCCAACTCCTCTGGATCTTCTTCATCCAGACCTTCATCGAGCCCTTCTTCAATTGGTGTCAATTCTTTAGCATCTTCATTTGCTTGATCTTCAACGAGCACTTCGTTCATCACTTCTTCCGCCTCCAAATCCTCATCATCTTCACCTTCTCCATCCGGATCCTCACAATCAGCCACATATGACCGCTTCAAACCACTTCTTCTTATCTTCACTTGGCCTTGGCCGGAACGGCCGTGCATTCCTACTTGGAGTGGGGAGGCCGCGTTCATATTCATGAGTGTTGACGCATCGATGCCTCAAGGCACACTCGATGTTGATTGATTCATACTGCCCTCCAGCCGAGAAGAAAACATCAAGTCTTTCTCTCCTGGACAGTGAACAATTGTTCAGCAAACGTTGGGTCCATGTTCTTGTGGAAATTTGCATCTCCGATTCCACGCGTTGATGCTGTGCCTTGAGCCTCTTCATTTGTCCGATGTATGCTGCAACCGGTTGGCCTGGAAGGCGGTGATAGGAAGCATACTCCTTCTTGGCTCTTTTCGAACAGCTCCTCGTCCGACTCTCTAAAAGCCTCGTTAAGAAGCCTCCACACGAGCCGCAAACCACAGGCCGGGTGAACTCGGAGATCGGGGCCTGGTCCAGGCAGTCACGAGCTTTTGGTGCTCAAGGACACCAACATCGCCAGCTCTTCTTCTTCCAACCTATACAACTGCTGCTGGGCCTCTACGGCCTTCTTCCACTGCACATACTTGAACCGTTCGCCTGAGAATGCCTCGATTTTCACCGAACCCAGGCTACTCTTTGGTCTCTTCAACTGATGCTGGACTTTCCGCTTCAACATGCTTCTGATCGCGGAGGTGTCCGCGGAAGAGTCATCGTCCGTAAGCTGGAATCCATCGACGATGGGAGCGTTGAGCCACCACCACCTCTAGAACCCGGTACACCACGCCTAGCCTGGGTCTCACCTGAAGATTCTTTAGCTTTCTTCTTCTTCTTCTTATTCTTATTCTTATTCTTCTTCTTCTTCTTTCTATCTTCTGGCTTTCCTTCAGGCTTCGCTTCGGGCTTTCCTTTAAGTCCTGCGACCGGCGGTAGCGATGCAAACGAAAATCCGGTGGATAGTAACCATAAACAGGAGGAGGAAAGCCCGGACATCCCTATGAACATCGATGGGGATGGGAGGATGGTGATGAGGTATTCCGAAACCAAATGAAACGGAATGTGAATAATTATGAACAACCTATTTAATTTTCCGTATAATAATCTTGATGGTCTATGCGTTCCAAAAGACATATTATTGTATTAAAGTGGCCCCCAATAGGTGATGTACCGGAAGGAGCCAATGCGAATGGTTGGAGGTAATCGGAAAGAAGCCATACGTTTATCACACCCACTTATCGGACCAGTTGCTCTCGACGATGCGTTCTATAGTTCGCCCGAATCATATTGCTAAGAGCTATTGCTCATCTGCGAAAAAGGAATGGTTTGAGGCACATGTTTGGCATGAATTATATTTGAAAGAATCGCTAAGGTTGGATTAATTATCCCCTCCGAATTGGTTATTAGTTGCCTTTATCCAACAAAATCATGCGCAATTCTTCTCGAATAGTGCTTGAGATCTATAGCTCTGCGGAGGTCTTCGCGGTCTCTTGGCCCATGGATCGTGCTGAAATAACGGATTTATTTGAACTTCCGTAGGCTTAACCCTCTGTGGAAATTCTGGGTTTGTCGTTTAGGTAAAGCAAATGGGCAGCCTAAAGCGAATAATGCTTCTAAAAACGAAAAATTGTATCGTTAATTAAGAGTCTTCAATTATTACGGATCTAATCCATCGGGCGTCGTTATTAATATTTAATGAATCGAAAACACTAGGATTAAATAGCAAGATGCGAAAGCAATTGCCTTAATGATTAGGGTTTCTAAAAGAATAATGCAAGTAAAAGCAAAGCAATACTATTATAAAAATATAATACCGTATATAATTTGGAATTATATTGGATGATTTGAGGATTAATTGTCCGTTAATAGATTTTATGTTTTTTGTATTTCCGAAATTTATGATGATTGATGGATATGTGATGATTGATTTCGATTTTCTTTATATTTTATTTTTTTTAATGAAATTAATTAATTAAATAAATATAAATTTAAGATTATGTGAATGAATATAAATTATTTTTAATTGATCGTTAATTTATATACGATTATTACATTTAATAAATTTGTAAAAAAAAAATATATAGAATTTATTAGGAAATAAAGGCCGTAACATGAATATACGTAAATTCTTTAAATAATATAATTATATATTTCGAATATATATTTTTTCGCATAAAAGGAAGAATATAATTACCGATTTTTTTGCATAAAAAATGATATTAAATAAATCGGAAATATAGTTATTTTTTTATATTTTATGCAATATTAAACTAAAAAATAAAAGATTATTATAAGCATTGTTAAATCCAATTTATAGTAGTTTATTCCGCCTAATTTAATAGAATACAAAACCGAAAAAATTATTTTATATAATACATTAAAGCATTTATTATAATCAAACGAAAGGAATAAAACCTTTCCAAATAATATTCAGATAGGAACCCACCTATCCAAATCCTGATCCGCACTAGCTTTATGCCACCCCTACTAATTATAATAAAACCCAAAAGATTAAAAAAACCTAAAATAGATATGGAAAATATAAAGACATATCAAAATAACAGCGGCAATCACCATAGAATGCAAACAAACAAGCCACAAGAAGCATTGAAGTACGCCAAGCCTAGCTATGCAAGAATTTCAAGCAATTAATTTCGCCCATACAATTCACCACAACATTGATATACAACAAGGCCAGAATTTTACCAAAAGAATACTATGGTTGCAAACCTGCTAAAAATTGGTGAATTTTATTCTCGAAACCAATCTTTATATGAGAGAAATTAAGACAATATATGTTCATATCGAATTCTTTTGAATCTTCAAATCCATGTCTTCCCGTATTTAATTGAAATTGTTTTGCATCCAAAGACTGTTGAAGAGTTGCAAAAACAATGCAACTCCCCTTCGTCGCAGGTTGATTCACACCATATGCATACATTGTATACACACAGACGAGCACACAAACGCACAGAACAACGTGCGCGGAGTGGTGCTGAGGCTGGCTCGGTTGTTAAAGCAAGAAGAAACAGCTTCCAACAATCCACTTCAATCCAACAAAGCCAGCAAACAACGAATAGGCTAAAGAAAACAACAAAAGCTAGTCAAACATATGCGGGAGCACATTGAACTCCGATCGCCAACCAATCGCAAAATTGCATTAAGTAGTAGCAACAAACAACAATCACTTTGCGGAGATTCAAACCAGAAACACGACCACAAGAAGTATCGATACACCCTTTAAAAAACGAATTACAAGTTAACCTTTTCGACCCACGACATCTAAAGAATCTACCTCCACAGCTGGACCAAACAAGCAACAAAAAGACCGTAGAAAGCCATAGCAACAAACCACAAGAAACACTGAAACGTACCTTGCGAAACAAAATGCATCAGACCTTCAAGTAATCCAGTTCATCACAACTTCACCAACCAAGATACAATCAAAACATGCTAAGCCAACTAAGTATGTGCATTCATGTATGAAGACAACGTAAAAATAAATCAGGTCAACAAGCAACAAACAATACCATAGCACCTCAACAAAAAGTAACTCTGACCATCGTGTCATTGCTTTGCGCTTGTGCTAGTTGACATAGTGCAACTCGTTCTGCCGCTGTTGATTGATGCAGCCTTGACCCAAGGTTACGTTATTCTTACGTTCTACCCTTGCAAATTCCATTGCCCTTTTCGCCCGTCCTTTGTTCAAAACTTCCCGGCTTATTTTCTCAATTAACCGTTTAGATTAAGGAGTTAAAGATGTAAAAATGCTGAAATGTGTATCTGTGTATTGATAGATTAAATAGTTGAACATATAGGCAATATAGATGTGCCGTTATTGATCTTTTTTGATTATATGAACATACGAATCCATACTGTATTCGATGATCAATGATTGATGCTTTGCTTTTGATCCTTGTGTCGTTAGCTCATGGATGAGAGTATGTGCAAGGTTGCAAGTGGTCGGTTGGCTATTCTGTATTAACGTTTTATCCTGTTAGAGCCCCAGCACCAAAGGCAATGGTAGCCCCGTGAGCTTCGCGCGCACTGGGTGTCTTAGGCGGGATGAATCGGGAAGGAACTCGCAGTTGGTCACTGGGTAAAAAGCCGCATGATCCGTGGAGGCTTGTATGGACCTCTTTCCTGGCAGCGCCTTTGTCGATGCGCTTTCATGGCCTGAGCGCCCTCGTTGAAAGTGTTGCAAGCCACGCCCAGGATCGAGAGTGCCCACCATGGCCGTCTATACTTGTTAAAGCGGTGAAGGTGTATAAGTCCCAGGTCGAGTGGGCTTGTTCTTTCTTTTCGGGGTAGCCTTTCCACCACTCTCTGTAGCCAGGCGAATATTCTCATCCATGGCGGTTGGCTTGTTGGTGGCTGCGCTTTTGCTTGTGCTTTGCCTTGCTAGTTTCTGTTGTGATGTGGTGTGTTCGTTGTTGTTGTTGCTGTTGTTGTTCTTGTTCTTGTTCTTGTTCTTGTTGTTGTTGTTGTTGTTCTTGTTCTTGTTCTTGTTGTTGTTGTTGTTGTTGTTGTTCTTGTTCTTGTTGTTGTTCTTGTTGTTGTTGTTGTTGTTGTTGTTTTTGGTGGTGGTGGTGGTGGTGGTGGTGGTTGTTTTGGTGGTGGTTGTCTTGGTGGTGGTTGTCTTGGTGGTGGTTGTCTTGGTGGGGGTTGTCTTGGTGGTGGTTGTCTTGGTGATCTTGGTGGTCTGGTGGTCTTGGTGGTCTTGGTGATCTTGGTGGTCTTGGTGGTGGTCGTGGTGATCTGGTTTTGGTGGTGGTGGTGGTGGTCTTGGTGGTGGTGGAGGGTTGTTTTGGTGGTGGTTCGTTGTCGCGGTGGGATTTTGGGTTTGTTTGGTTTGTATTTTTGGCTTTGGTGATGGGGATTTTTGTGTTGGAGGTGGCGATGGGTTATGATGATGATATTGGTCGCATTTGACGAATGTATATTTGGGAATTGTATTTTTTATTGTTATCTATATATAAATATTTATAATTGATGTTGAATTTTAAATATTTATATTTATTTAAGATTCTGATGTAATGAATATCTATTTATCATTTT